GACCCCATGCACATGCACACACTCCTATGCACACCTGCACGTGCATGTGCACGTAACCCCACGCACATGCACACACTCATATACACAGACACATACATGTAACCCCATGCACGCACATGTATGACCCCATGCACATGCACACACTCCTATGCACACCTACACATGCATGCACACCTATAACCCCATGCACATGCACACATGCTACCACCTTCTACGGACTCACTTACCATTGGCGGATGTTGGAGTCCATGGGCTTGGGGAAGACAGGAGGAGAAGGTTTGTTGGTGGCCTGGTTGGGTTCGAAGCCTTCAATTTCAAGAAAGAAATAGGCACTGTTGGACACAAGAGAGAACAGACTCACTTGGTGCCCAGAACCAGCCGTCTACACTGGCTCCACCCGCCTGCCGTCCACTCACAGTCTGGGCTGAGGCACTGGTCAAGCCCTCTGGGTCAGCCAGAGAAGTGGACCCAGGCCTGGGGCCTCTCTGGGCTTCCTCACAGTCTAGCTGACAGGCTGGTTCTAGCAGTCCCAGCCCAGGCAGCATGGACCTTTCCCCAATCCAGAGGCACTGCCCAGAGTCTACTAGAACCACTGGCCTGTAGGGCAGAGCCCAAATGATGTTCAGGCAGGTCTGAGTTAATGCTGTTGTGTTGACACCATCTGCTGCCATCTCCTCTGCGGGTTTGCTGGGCGGCCCGCTGGGCTCTGCTCCCACAGTCTGACGGCTCCTTTGCAATAGCACAGGTCATGCATAGGTGGCCCCACAGGGCTCTGCCCTGAGCCCCCTCCTTTTCTCCCTCACTCAGGGATCTCACGGGCTCCCATGGATTTACTGAGCACCTCTATGCTGATGATTCTCCATCTCCCTCTCTGGCCCCCGATTCTGTCTCCCATCTGCACGCCTTTCAGATATCTCGAACCAGATGTCCAGCGGACAGCTGACACAACACTTGTTATCTGTCCCCCAAACCCTCCTCACCTCCTCCCTTCCTATCTCGGTAGAGGCCACCTCCATGCTCCCACCCTGAGGCTCCCCACCTAGGAGTCAGCCTGGACTCCTCACTACCCCTCGCCCCCCAGATCCAATATGGCTCCAAGGTCTGTCCAGGTCACCTTTGAAGTATCTCTCGAATATGCCCCCTTCTCTCCTCTGACGCTGCCCCCTCCTGGTGCAGGCCCTCATCCCCTAACATCTGGATTATTGTAGTGGCTGCCGGGTGGGGAGGGGTCTGCCACATCCAAGTATCTCCCCACCCAGTCCGTCCTCCATTCTTAATTTGTTTTTCAGTTGTTTCAGTCACGTCTGACTCTCTGTGACCCCATTTGGGGCTTCCTTGGCAGAGATACTGGAGATCATTTGACGGATGAGGAAACTGAGGCAGACAGGGTGAAGTGACTTGCCCAGCATCACACAGCTAGTAAGTGTCCGAGGCCAGACTGGAGCCCGGGTCTTCCCGACTCCAGGCCTGCAGCGCCCCCGGCTGCCCCAGGTCACCTCTCTGCTGGACAAACTATGGCTCCCTATCACTTGTGGGATCAGACACAATGCCCCCTCCATCTTCCTGCTCTCCTCACAGCCGACTCCCTGCTCACACACTCGAGGGTCCTGCCAGTTCCACCTGAGTATTGCTGGTCAAGGCCGCTCACCTCGGTGGGCCTCTGCAGAGGGGTTGGACTGAGCGAGCTCCCCTGGATCTGGGACCCTGGCAGGCACAACACTACATGCAGTTGCCACATAATGAAGGCTTATTGAGTGGCGTTGTTTCTGTCCTATCTGTGAACTTCCACCTGTCCCCAGTGAGGGATGACTTCACAAGGGCCCCCCACGCCGGCAGGAGGGGAGATTCTTAGCACAAAGCCTGGCATACAGCCGGTGCTTATTCCATGCTCATTCATTCATTTTCTCAGTGAGGCGGGATGTGGGGCGTGGGGGGGGGGGGGATGGGGCAGTGGTGTTAATCAGGAGGCGCCGGCCTTCCTGGCTGGGGGCATGGGGTGAGTAGGGGGCCTGGGCCCAAGGCAGGAATGAAGACAGAGAGCAGGCTGGCCAAGCACACCCTGGAGGCTGAGGCCCTCGTCGTGAAGATGAACCCAAAAAGACAAGGTGTCCCAGCTTTACTCATCACCGGGACACATCCCCACACAGCGAGTCCCCTGGCCTGCCAGTCCTGGCCCCCTCGGCCCTGGGGACTCCCTTTGTGGGGTGAGGAGCCCCACCCTGTCCCATCTCCCTTTAGGAAGGCCAGCCTGACTCAGCTCCTGCTCCTGGCGGTGGTGACAGAGCCTGGCATGCCGGGAAGGAAGCCCAGGAGGGAGCAGGGAGCCAGGAACCCTGCCTGTGCTTCCTGGCATCCTGGCATCCTGCCACCCCCTTCCAGGAACCTGCCTGCCTCACCCACAGCACAGTGTACACACACACACACACACACACAAACACACACATGTGAGCAGATGCACACACACATGTGTGCACATGCAGCAGAATGGCTCTTGGTCCCACCGCCCGCTCTCCCCCACCCCACCCCCAGCTCCATCCTCTCTGGGGACCCTAAAGGGGGCCCAGTTCCAGAGGCAGGCCAGGCGGGGGCAGCAGCACAGCTCTCCTTCAGTCTGGTCCTCATGGCTCATGGGCTGGAGGCAGGAAGGGACCTTCCTGGGACCTTCCTGGGTCCCAGGGACCCCTGGGCTTGGGGAGCGGAGCAGGGACAAGCAAGGTCCCCAAAGCCAGAGGCAGGGCCCCCAGGGGCTCCGTTCCCATTTCTCTGGGAGTCTGAGAGGTGATGAAGAGGCAGGTGGGGGAGGGGGCTTTATCCCCACAAGAAGTGAGGAACCCGCCACAGTCGTATCACCTGGAATGTCAGAAGGAACCGGCCTTGATGCCAGGGGACCTGGGTCCAAATCCTGAGTCTGACACCACCCCTGGACCCAAAGCAGTCGACTCGCATGCCCAAGCTCATGGAGGCAATCACTAGCAGAGTCAGGATTGGAACCCAGGGCCTCCTTCTTCAAAGCCGGTGATTTTGCACTCCGTAGGCAATCATAATTCAGAGAGCTGCATGACAGTCTTGACCATCTTTTGAATTCAGCCGAATGCTTCCAGAGATGAAGGGAAGGCTGGCCATGAGGCCCTGAAGGCCAGCTGAAGCCAGATGTCCGGAGGTGGTGGTGGGCCCCTGCCCCCTGCTTTGGGGGCTTGCTCCAGAAACACAGATTGACTTAAGAAATAGGAAAGGCAGGTGGCGGGGGCGGCTGAGGCAGGTGTGAGCAGAGGACTGGCTGATGTGGGGACAAGCGATTCAAGAGGACAGAGCTGGAGACTGGTGTGCATGTGTGTGCGTGTGTGTGTGCATGGTGTGTGAGTGTGCGTGTGTGTGCATGTAGGTGTGCGAGTGCATGTGCGTGCACATGTGCGTGTGTGCAGGTGTGCGCGTGCACGTGCGCAGGTGTGTATGTGTGTGCATTGCGTATGTGTGTGCATGTGCGTGCACATGGTTGCAGGTATGTGCGAGTGCACAGGTGTGTGAGTGCGTGTGCGTGTGTGCAGGTGTATGTGTGTGCGTGTGAGTGTGCATGTGAGTGTGCAGGCGTGCAGGTGTGCGTGTGTGTATGTGCATGTTTGCAGGTGTATGTGTGTGTGCGTGTGCGCGTGTGCATGTTTGCAGGTGTGTGCGTGTGCGCAGGTGTGTGAGTGCGTGTGCGTGTGTGCAGGTGTGTGTGTGTGCGTGTGGGTGTGCAGGTGTGTGCGTGTGCGCAGGTATGTGAGTGCATGTGCGTGCGTGTGTGCGCGTGTGCGTGTGCGCACGGGCACACAGAGGGCAGATGGCAATAGGCTGAGAACGCCGAGCAGCGGAAGGCGAAGAGCGGGGCCGGCGAAGGGGAGGGAGGAGGAGGCGGAGTAGGAGGATGGCGCCGCGCTCAGAGCAGATCCGAGCATGCGCACCCATCGGTGGCTCAGGGAGCAGCGTGGAGACAAAGGTAACGGGAGTCGAAGGACTGAGGGAACTGGGAAGGGTTGCGCTAGTGGTCTACCGAGCTGCTGGCCTGTCCAGGAAAGCAATGCATCTCCTTCCTCAGTCAAGGTATGTCATATCCCAGTCGGTGGAACTGTCCAAACCTAAGACCTCACTGGGGTGAATGAATGAATGAACAAATGAAAATGCATTTATTAAGTGCCTGCTGTGCGCCAGCTAACTGGCTAGGGGCTAACTGCTAGGGGCACAAATACCCAAATCAAGGAGCTGCCTGCCCCCCAGCAGCTTCCGTGTTAATAGGGAAAGCGGTCCATGTAGGGGTGTAGATGTAAGCTAAAGGTGGAGGGGAGGAGGAAGGAGGCTTGGCAGGAAGACTCACCTTCTGCCTTCACTCTTCCCCTCTGCCCCTTGTGGCCTCCTCCCCTCCCTCTCTCCCCAGTCTTCCATAACCTTCAAGCTCACTGCCTCCGGGTTCTCTGTCCTTGGATGAACTCTGTTGTTTGTGCCTTTCCTTGAATGGAATCCAGAGGGAACTAACTGGGTTTTGTAAGCACAGGTGAGCAGATAGACAACTCATGAGCAGACTGCAGGGAAGCTCTAGCCCCTGGGCACCTGGGGCTGCTCTGGGGCATCTGGCGCATTCCGTGACACTTCTTGGGCTTTTCACATGACAAGAAACAGGAAGGAGTATGGTCTCCCCCTTTGGAATGGAAGCTCCTTGGGGTCCATTTTTTGTATCTCCAACATCACAGAGACTCCCAAACTTATTTAGCCTGCTACCCCCTTTTCAAAAAAAATTATTCAGTGACCCCCTAAAAATCTTCTTTCTTTAATCCTGTAATGATTTTTTGAAATTTGTGTCATTTCAAAAAAATATAAAATATATTTTTTTAAAATGATGCATCTTAAATTTAATAATTTATTGTTAATTTGTGGGGTTTTTTCCTACCTTGAAATTATGATGACACAATATTACATCATGTAACTATATAGCATCATATTGTAAACAAGTCATGAAACACACGTATTCCTGTTAATACATGCTGGACTTCTCAACAATGGGCAACATGCTCACCTGCCAACACTTGCTTCTTAAGACCTGTTGGCAGACTTAACCATTCATTGGTTATAACTTGAATTTTATGTGTTTATTTGAAAAATAATGTTTAAAAACAACAACAACAACAACAACAACAAAAGAAAAATAATGTAATCTGGGACAGCTAGGTGGTGCAGTGGATAGAGCACTGGCCCTGGAGTCAGGAGGACCTAAGTTCAAATCCAACCTCAGACACATAACACTTACTAGCTGTGTGACTCTGGGCAGGTCACTTAACCCCAATTGCCCTCACCAAAAAAAAAAAAAAAGAAAAGAAAGCAATTACTATGACTTTAACTCTGTTACACAATGGATGAAACATGTAGGAATGGTTTTTAAATTTTTTCTTCTCTTCTCTTCTTTCCTTATGCTTCCACTGCCCCCTTATTTTTATTCAACATCCCTCAATTGCACCTAAGGCTAGTACCACCCCACCCTGGATCATTCCAGCACCCCCAGGGAATGGTATTGCCCACTTTGGGAACCTATGGTTCTAGCACAGAGTAGGTGCTTAATAAATGCCTACTAGCCATCAAATGATTGATTCTCAAGGCTGGCTGCTCAGGCAAGGACTGCTGTCATTGATGTGGTCAGCCCTAGAGAATGAAGGGGGTAGAGAGGAGTGGGATCATTCTGGCAAGGTCAGCCTAAACCATGGGAGGCCACCTCCATGTGCTGCAAGGACAGACCTCTGCATTATTAGGAGTCTTCATCATCTCCCACAGAACTGAAATTTTGCCACCATCCGGGAGGCATTCCTTTGCCTAACAAATTGACCTATCAGGAATAGAACTTGCGGTCTCAAACTGTCCTATGAAGCAGAGTCATGCTCAAAAGTATCAGGACACTCTCTGGTATTAGGAGAATCAGGCAGAGCAAGAAGCTATTAAACTCAGTGGATCAGTGTTTGGTAAACTCAGGAACATCAGTTACATGGGAAAGAGCTGCCTGTTTGGTAAGAGCTGCTGGGAAAGCTGGAAAGAAGAAGTTAGGCGTAGACCAACATCTTCCGCCAAGTTGTTCAAAAGTAAGCTGACAATCACTGTGTGACCTGAATGTAAATGGTCACGCCATAAAGAGGTCAGAAGGGAATGAGCCCAGGCACATTTCGTGGCTACAGCTGAGTAGAAATCTTCACCAAACATGGGACGAGTCAAGCCGACAAGCATTTATGAAATACCTGCTGTGTGCTTGGCACTGTGCTATGCACTGAGGATACAAAGAAAGGCAAGAGACAGTCCCCCTCATCAAGGGACCCCCATCTAACGGGGAAGATAATGCACAAAGAATTACGTACAAACAAGGTATAGACAGAATAAATCGGGAGTAACCTCAGAGGGGACACACTAGCATTAAGGGGGAGTGGGGAAAAGGCTTCCTGTGGAAGGTGAGATTTTAGCTAAAATTGAAGGAAGCCAGGAGGCAGAGATGAGGAGAGTATTCCAGGCATGGGAGATAGCCTGAGGCAACGCCTGGAGTCTGGAGATGGAGGAACAGCCTGGAGGCTGGAGTCCCTGGATTAAAGAGTCCTACTGGGGAGGAAAGTGTAAGAAGGCTGGAAAGGGAGGAGGGGAGGAAAGGCCTTTGGCGACATGAAATGGAAAAGCTTTTGTACAAATAAAGTCAATGCAACTCGGCTAAGAAGGGAAAATAGCAACTGGGAAAATATCTCTAATAAAGGTCTGATATACAAGACTTACAGGAGCATTAGCACAAACCCAAATGAGCAAATGCCCTTCTCTAATAGATAAGCAACAACAAACTCAAAAGGTAGATATTGAACAAACAGTTCTCGGGAGAAGAATTCCAAATGAGTAACCACCCCTGGAAAGGCTGCTCCAAGCCACTAGTTAATAAGATAAACGCAAATCCTAACAAACGCGTTGTCGCCTCACACAGCCACTTGGCAAACAGGATGAAAGGTGGAAATAGGAAATGCTGGGGGAACTAGAGAAAGACAGACACATGAATAAACTGTTGTTGGAGCTGTGAGGTGGTCCAGGTATTCAGGAAAGCCACTGGAATTGTGCTTTAAAAAGGTGACTCGTGTCCCCGCTCTTGGGTTCAGAGAGCTCATCACTAGGTGTGGGCCCCAAACAATTCAAAGGCAGGAAGAAGGACCATATGTACAACCAACTATTCGTAGCGCACTTTCTGTGGTACAAAGAACCGGGGACAAAGCAGATACCCAGCAGTCAGGTGATCTTCACACAAACTGTGGCAAGTGAATATAAAGGCATGTTACTTATCTGCTAAAGGAAACAACATGCAGGAGGGATACAGAAAAACGAAGGAAGACTTCTCCAAACCGAGGAGTGAAGAAAAGTGTAATCAGTGCACAGTGACCACAGTGACAAAGGGAAAGAACCCCAAACCCAAACTAGACACCAAGTCACTAGAACTGCTGAGCCTGGCCTCGGGAAACAAGGGGGGAAATGTCCCTCCCTTCTTCGACCAGACCAGGTGTGGCTGGTTGGTTTTTCTGGGCTACATTTTTTCTGTCTTTTCTAATCTGTGTTTCAAGGGACAGCTCCCCAGGAAGGGGAGCCGGGAGGGGCGTAGTCAGACAAGAAGGTGACGTAAGAACTAAAGTTATTAATAAAAGAGTAAGGTAAGGCTCCCTTCTGTCCCTCACACTCTGGCTGTGCCCCTCAGTAACAGACACAGAGAGAGCACAACAAACAGAGAATAGGAGGATTTCTGTAACAAATTATCTTCTGTCCAGGGAAGCGGAGCCCTCACAGTTAGTCTCTAATGTCACATCCTCATGAGATGGTACCACATGCGGGAAGTCAAAATGACCCTGAGGAAAACAGAGACAGGCAAAGCGCATGGACCAGACCACAGGTGACCTCCATCTATACTAGAGGGGACGCAGTTCTGAGAACCCTGGGGACTGAGTCACAAGACATCTGGAGGAAGAGATGATGCCAAAGGCTTGGAGTAAATTCCAGACCTTGTTGTTACCCCCAAAAGCATGACAGAGAAGACCAGTGACGTTCATCCCCTTTCCCTACTTTCCCATTGCCGCCAAATGTTTGAGACGCCTCTTGGAACATCTTCCAGAGACACGCATGGCTCAACCCCGAAGGGCTTGGTGCTCTGGGATGAAACATCAAATTCGGGGGGGGGCCCTGGGGTTCCTCTTTCTGCCCGTGACAGCTTAGGGGGAAGAATGTATCAGAGCCACGTCAGAGAGTGTTGGCCTCTGAAGCAGAAAGAGCTGCCGGGTCAGATGCCAAGAGGATTGGCTCCAGCCTCTGGTCCTTCCTCACTTTCTCTGGGGCATGGGTGGCATGGAGCTCCCTCTCCACTGACTGCCCGCACACAGGCTGGCCTGGGGGACCCCAAGACCTGATCTCAAAGCCAGCCTGGCTGCCTCTTCTGCTCTGTGTCTCTTTCCTGAGCAGAGGTGACTGAATAGCTATCCTGAGTCAGGCATTTCCAGCCTTGGAGACAACTTTGTGAGCTCAATGGTCGGGAGTTCCTGGGACCCTCAGCAGGTGCTGGCCCCACTATGGGAGGTGCCCGGACATACCTGGAGGAGCAGGCTGGGTGCAGAGTCAAGACGAAGGTAAGATGCCCACTCAGCGGCCCAGCAAGACGTTTTGTGCTTTGGTGCTGAAAGCTGCAACCTTCTGGACAAGCATAACAGTAGTCACCCATTGCTGCTGCTTGGCTAAGTCCCTTGGCCAATGAATGCCTGGTAGTATCTTGTGGCCCATGCCCAATTTTGGACAGTGAGGTGGTACAGCAGGTAGAGTGCTGGGTCTGGAGTCAGGGAGACCTGAAGTCTCCAGAGTCCAAATCCAGCCTCAGACACCTCCTAGCTGTGTCATCCTTGGCAAGCCCCTCAACTCTGTTTGCCTCAGTTTCCTTATCTGTCAAATGAGCTGGAGAAGGAAATGGCAAACCCCTCCAGTGTCTCTACCGAGAAAACCCCAGTGGGGTCACGGAGAGTCAGACACGACCGAATGACAATACAAAAAGGTACCGTTCATGGGTCTATTTCTACTCCCTGCTTTGGGGAAGATCCCAGGCACAAGCCAAGTCGAACATCAAATGATTCTCCCTGGGACCGTGGGGGGAGGAGGAAAAAGAGCCTGGCCTCTCCTGAGGCCGGACTCCGCCAGGACGGAATCGAGTGCTCAGGCACCTGGGTCCAGAGCTGAAGGTGTCTCTGTGGGAGAGGACAAGCAGTCGCCGAGCCTGGGGGCATGACGTCAGAGCCGCGGAGGACGAGGCAAGGAGGGGACTCCTGTGCCTGGAATACTCTCCTCATCTCTGCCTCCTGGCTTCCTTCAATTTTAGCTAAAATCTCACCTTGCACAGGAAGCCTTTTCCCCACTCCCCCTTAATGCTAGCGTGTCCCATCTGAGGTTACTCCCGATTTATTCTGTCTATACCTCGTTTGTACGTAATTCTTTGTGCATTATCTTCCCCGTTAGATGGGGGTCCCTTGATGAGGGGGACTGTCTCTTGCCTTTCTTTGTATCCTCAGTGCATAGCACAGTGCCAAGCACACAGTAGGTATTTCATAAATGCTTGTCGGCTTGACTCGTCCCATGTTTGGTGAAGATTTCTACTCAGCTGTAGCCACGAAATGTGCCTGAGCTCATTCCCTTCTGACCTCTTTATGGCGGGACCATTTACATTCAGGTCACACAGTGATTGTCAGCTTGCTTTTGAACAACTTGGCAGAAGATGTTGGTCTAAGCCTAACTTCTTCTTTCCAGCTTTCCCGGCAGCTCTTACCAAACAGGCAGCTCTTTCCCATGTAACTGATGTTCCTGAGTTTACCAAACACTGATCCACTGAGTTTAATAGCTTCTTGCTCTGCCTGATTCTCCTAATACCAGAGAGTGTCCTGATACTTTTGAGCATGACTCTGCTTCATAGGACAGTTTGAGACCGCAAGTTCTATTCCTGATAGGTCAATTTGTTAGTCTGTGGTCAGCGCAGCCTTCCTGTCTGTTGCCTTCAGGATGGCTGGACGAACACTTGTGGACAGAGGGTAGGCAGGATGCCTGTGGGTGGGCTGAGCTGGGGAATTCCAAAGGCCCCTTTCAACTCCAAGACCTTTGGGGAAGAATCGGGGCCAGGACAGACAACTCTGTCTCCTTCAGGGATGTCGAGGTGACCCTTGGGTGGTCCAGATTTCACCCCCACTTCCCCTGGGGTCTGTGACCAGAGTGAATTAGCCATGAGAAATCAAGTTATGATTGATGGTCAAACCTGGGCCTGAGCTTGGCAAGGTCAGCAGGCACCAGGAGAAACAACCAGCCCACAGGAGGAACCCAGAGATTTCTGAGGCAGCAGGGAGTTACAGGGGGATACATCGTCACACACATGTCCCCCGAGAGCTCCAGGACCCTGGGAGACAAGATTGCGGCCCTTACCCAGAGTGCCCAGGCCCTCCTGCCAGCCCACGTGCTCCTTGGGGGCAGTTCTGAGAGCTAGGAAGTCTCTCTGTCCTCATTTTACAGAAAAGGAAACTGAGGCCCTGAGGGATAGACTCGCCTGCCTCAAGTTTTAGGTAGGAGGCAGCAGGCTTTTGACTCCACGGTCGGCCTCTCCTGCCCCCGACCTTCCTGGCCCCACTTTCCTGCTACGTCCACATGATGGTCAGTTGTCAAAGGTCCATCTGAAGTCCAGTACACTCTGGACGGCGCACCCCCCCCAGGAATATTCCACTTGGCGCTCCATCAAAGCCTGGGCTTTGGCCTATCTGCCCGTCATCATCTCCTGGGTGGGGGTCTTAGCCCAGCAAGAGACAGGGAGCTGCCTGAGGGTAAGAACCCACCCTTCCCCCTCAGCCTCGCCTGGGGCTGGGCCCTTAGGCCCTACAGGGAGCCAAGAGGAAAGTCCTACCTCTTCTTGGTGGGCGTGACCTCAGCAGGCCTCCTCTCCAGCGGGCACACAGGGGCTGCGCCAGGGGCGCTGGTTTTCTTGCCCATCAGTGGGATCATTTCCTTGGGATTCTTGCTCATGTTTCTGTAAGACCAACACATGCCCTGTTAGCAATGTGCTTTTGGAATGCTTCTGCTTTCTCTCCCATAGCAACGATGCCACAGACACGGGTGACTCCTCCAGCCTTGCCCTGGCACAGGCATGTGGCAGGAAGGAAGCCCACCCGAGGGGCTCTGGAGCTCCCCACCTTAATGGCAGCTAATGCTGAGCCCTGAGCCAGCCTCCCCTGAGAAGCGGCCACCAGCGGCCTTGGGGATCTGTCCATTTAAGAGATCACCCCAAGGACCCTGGAGGGTGAGGTAGACAGGGCTCTCCCTGGGGCAGCAGCATGGGGAAGGGTCCCCTGAGCCATTGAGCCTGAGGCTGGGCCAGGTGGGCCTTGGGATTGACCCCCACCCCACCCTGGGAAGCTGCCGTGGGGCTTGGGGGAGCAGGAGGAGGGGTGGAGGTCAGCAAAAGGCTCCTTTCCTCCTAAGGGGGCACAGGGATGGTGAGGGAAGGGGTGATTTCCTCGAACTCAGTAAGAAACAAGGGAGGCCCTTGCTGTAGAAGGGTAGATCTGGGGCAGAAAGATGGGGGAGTGACCAGATCCTGGACCCCTCCTTGGTGTGCCGGCCCGAGGTGCCTGGGACGCATGGCCCTGCCATGTGCTGCCTGAGCATCACGTGCCTGGGCTGGAGCCCACAAGAGGCCAGAGGGTGCGTGCTGGACGGGGAGGTGGGGGATGGGCTGGGAAGGTGGCCAAGACCGCCTTCAGGGAACTGAGGGTGAAGGGACAGGACAGAAGTCACGGCCTCCAGCTTGCCAAGAGTCTCAGAGGGAGTTGCCCCAGGCCAGGACAAGATCCAGCCGTGGTCGGGGCCCATGGAGGGCAGAACTTGCCAGGCAGGACCATGGGTACATATGCCCACCTCAATGCCCGCATCTCCCCGGGGAGACTCTGGGCAGCCTCCTCTCAGCAAAATAATCATGCAATCAGAGATCTCGGGAATGTCAGAGCTGGAAGGGAGGAGTCAGAGTAGGAGATAGGCCTGGAGTGGGGCAGGAGGTCCCCCAGGGCCTCCTCCAGACGGTGGGTGGCAGAGACCACCTGATTCCAGCCTGGGAGGAAGTTTTCAGTCTGGGCATGGGCTCCAGACAGAGCTGTGCTGAGCGACCCCTCCCCACTCCTGCAAGCCTTCCTTCCACATCCCCCACTGCTGGAAGGCACCCGAGGCATAAACGGATCCCAAATCCTCTCTCAGAGGGAGCTGCACAGCACAGGACCCCTCTGGACAACCCTGGGCTCCCCTGAACGTCCTTGGGAACTTTGTGCTCCATTTCTCAGGCTGACAAACAGAGGCTCCCCAGTGATGGAGCATTCCTCCCAAGGCTGCCAAGGCAGCTCTCGGGTCTGAATCCCTGGGTCCTCCCCAGCCGCTCCTGGGAGAGCAGAAGGGGCCAAAGGCTCGGTCTGGGTGACCTTGTAGGCCCATCCCAGGCAGCTATGCATGGATCTACGAGCCTCCGTCCCCCTTCCCCACAGAAGGCAGGTTCTCCAAGGTCCCTTGAGGCTAACAGGTATTCTGAGGAGGCGGCTGGGCCTGGGTGGAAGCCACAGCGCATTAGCTGCTGAGTCACCCCGACCCAATTCGGAGCTCTGACCTAATTGGCTCGGCCTGAGTCAGTGCCCAGGAAGCACCAGGTGCTAGGGAATCCTGGAAGTCATCCCGGGAAAGGCCCCTGTTTTTTCTGCTTCCTTCCCTGCCCCTGTCAGGTCCCTGGGCTATCTGGGGCTCCCCAAGCCGAGGCGGAGAGCTCAGCTCCCCATCTCTGAGACCCTGGCTGCCCAACAGCCGGGTCAGTCCCTCCCCAGGCCCTCCGAGCCTGGCCTGGCTAGCAAGCCATCAGGCATTTGACCTGAGGCAGGAATCCCCCCACCCCCAAAATGAAGCTTGGAGTCAGATTTCAACCAGGCCTTCTGCGATCTGCCCCCCTCACTCCCCTCCCAGGAGGTACATCGAGCCAAGCAAGAAGACCTCTCCTTTCCTTGGCCCCACGGACCCAACTAACCTGTTCATCTCTCCAGCTCCCTCTGGGGAGAATGCCCAGCCTTAGCAAGTGGGTACTGGAACCAGAGGGCTAGCCCAGGGCTCCCCCAAGCCCACCGAACCACTCCCGGGGCTCAGCTGGCCCTTACCGTCTGCCTGAGATGGGTGCCTGGCAGCTGGGTGGGCTGAGATGGCCCTCCTCCCTGAAGGCAGCGGCAATGGCGAGGCCTGGGCTCCTGGGGCTGGCCCACCTGGCTGGAGCTGTGTGGAAGGAGCCAGAGGTCGGGAGGCCCACATCCCGCCTGGGCCCTGGCCTCCGAGAGGCAGGTTAGGGATAAGTACGGTCCCCAGGTGCAGGGTCACGCCTCGAATGAGGCAGCAGATGGAAAAACTGGCTGGGCCACAAGAGGCTGGCAGGGGTGACGATCCCATGGCTGTGGGCCCCACCACTTCAGAGACAGGTCTGGCGTGAGGCTCTGAGTCACAGGGTGATCTTCAGCTGAAGCATCAGCACCCCGCCACCCACACAGGCAGGCGCACTCACCTGGCCCCCCAGCCACCTCGCCCACCGCCAGTGTTGGTACCTCCACGCCCACACCTGTCCCCAGGGCCACCTCCCCTGCTCCCGGGGCCAGGCTTGGGGCTCCCCGAGAGCCGAGCTGGACAGCAGCAGGGCACTCAGTGCACCCCAAGTCAGCAGCCAGTCTGCACAGGACCCAGCCTCTGGCAGAGATGCCAGTGGGATCCCTTTACAGGGCTGTTCAGGTAATCATTATGGTCAAAGAGATCTGGCTTATTGGTGGTGGCTTCCAGTCCCTCCAAGGGTCTGCCATTTTGTGTATCTGCTTTCCCAATCCCTGGAGGGCCGGCGGGCCATAGGGCCTGTGGGGGGCCTGCCTGCCTCCAGTCTATGTCCCATTCAGGCTCCACAGTGATCCTTCTGTAACCCTGTCACCCCCCACTCAACAGCCACACTGGCTCCCTGTGGCCCCCAGGAGAAAATACAAAACCCTCTGCCTGGCAACAGAGCCCTCGCCACCTGCCCCCTCCTCGCGGCCCAGGCTTGGTTCTCTGTGACCCAGTGCCCATGGTCCTGGCCTTCTGGCTCTGCCTCTAGTCTTTGTGTCTGGCCGCCTGCCCTCCCTTCTCCTCTTCCCCAGGAAGCTTTGCCCGTCCCCCCTCGTTCCAGGCTTCCCCTCCACGAACACTCCCCAATTTATTCTGTCTAGCTTCTGGAGCTATTGGGAGACCCCAAGGAGTTCATGAAAGGCAAAGCCTGGAGTTAGGGATGTCTAGTGAGGCCCTGGGGAAGTCCCCTTGCCGACGGGACATGGGATCAATCCTGATCCATTTTACAGATGAGGGTAGCTGAGGCTCAGGGAAGGAAAGTCTGAGACCTAGCTGGGTAAAACAATTTGTGAGTTCAAATGTCAGAACTCGAACCCAGGTCTTTGGACTCGGCTCATGATTGTGCCCTGCATCCCCCTCCCCAACCCTGCCACACGAGGCCCTCTGTGTAGAAAGGACCCTCCCGCCTCCAGCAGCGGCCCTCACCACAGGGGGTTTCTCCAGTCTGCTCATAATGGGCTCAGGAGCCTGCGGGCTCTCTGTCCCTGAGGCGCTGACCAGATGCCCGGTCCCCTCTGCTGACCGGGGCCTGAGCCCTTGATTCGAGGAATGGGGCTGCTCTCACCCCATTTTCAAGGCAAGCAAACTGAGCTCCCAGCACTTCCTTTGGGGGGCCTGCGATGGTGTGGCAGAGATGAGAAGCACACTCAGAAAATGCCTGGAAACAATCCCAAGGAGACTGACTGAGTGGGTCCTTCAAAGCCTCGGATGTGGGCCTCCACACTCAAGCCTCAGTTTCCTTCCCTGTGATCTTCAGAGTGGACGTCTGCTGTCTGTGCTCTCTGTGTGTGCTGGGCCCTGGGGGGGGCAGAGAGAAGGCAGAAATGGGGCCATGGGCCTCCTTCCGCAGAGCCCACAGGGGCTGGGCAGCTGCCCACATGGCCAGTGCATGCATGCACGCGCACACACGGTCCCCAGAGGAGGGGGGGCTTGCTCTGGCCTTGCCCCACCCCCAGGAGCCCCTGCTCTGCCCCCAGCCCCACTTCAACAGTGCTAACAATGGCCCCACCCTCCTGCCATCATTCTCCCCATTACACAGGCAGAGAAACTAAGGCTGGGAAGGAAGTAGAAGGGCCTGAGGCAGGGATCCTAGGGTTTAAGTGGGCAGGAAAGTGCCTCGGGTCACCCAAGGCTCCTGGGGAGGTGGGGAGGGTTGCTTTCTCAAGGTCACACAGCAAGTTCATGGCAGTTGGGACTAGAGTGAAGGCCCAGCCCATGGCCAGGCAGCCTTTCCCTCCACCAAACCCCTTCTATCCTTGGCTGCGTGACCCCAGGCAAAGCCCCCACCTCGCAGAAGAGCCTCCGTTTCCTGCGGGAGGCTCCGTTGTTTTCCCTGTGATTTCATGAGAACCTGATGGAGTTGGTCAGACCCCCAACTTCTGTTCCCATTTTAAAAATGATGAAACTGAGACCCCGAAAGGACAGTGGACTTGTCCGAGGTCACCCTGCCACTCCTTCTCCCTGGTGGGGAAGCCTCCCCACCCACACAGCGGTGCCCCTGCCCAGTCACTTCTGCTGGATGCGCTCCTCACCGGCGGGCCCATCAGCCCTGACCTTCTGGGCCCCAAAGCCCCTGACACTGCCCGGCAGCCATGGGCTCTCCCCAGGCATCAAAGGTCTGAGGATGCGCCCTGACGTCCTCCCCTCCTCCCCCTCCACAAGCACTCCCTGCTATCGTCAGCACTAATGGTTTTCTGAGGCTGAGGGAGCGGCTACCGCCCCTGGCCGATCCCAGCCCTCCCCTGAGTCACCCCAGGAAGGAGAAAACCCCAGGCTGGGGAAGTCCCCCCGCCAGCACCACCCTTTCTCCATGCCACGTGGAGGGGGGGCGGGGTAGCATCGACATCCAGGAGCTCCCGTGGTTCAGAGGGGTCTGAGCCCAGCAGGGTCTGGGGGGGCGGGGAGGCTGGCCAGGGCCACCCTCATTCCCTCACCCAGTCCCCCCCAACCCTCCCAGCCCCCGCCTCCACCTCCCACTTCCAATCAAGGGACATACATTTGCCAGACAACAGAGATGGGAGCAGTCTATGGCCAAGGAGAGAGGTCAGTCTGTGGTTATGGCCAGGGTCAGGGTCAGTCGGGGGTCAGCTCATGGATGGGGTCAGAGTGCATCTGTGGCCAGAGACAGCCATTAGTGGCAGGGGGCAGTCTGGTGGCAGTCTATGGCTGTCCTGAGGGGTACAATTGATAATTTCAGTAAAAAGTCAGGGTGTGACTGAAGTTGGGGACCATTCTTTGACCAAAGAAAAGAGGGGTTTTGTTTGTTTTTACATTTCTACAGGCACAAACTGGCCCCAACAGGTCCAGGGCATGCATGCTGCCCACTCAGCCGCAACCACAAGCAGATGGGCCCCCACGAGCAGAGAACAGCCCCAGGCCCAGCCCCAAACACCCTGAGCTGTGGGTGAGTCACCCCCTCTCTCCTTGTGCTACATCACCAGAGATGAACTTTCCTGATTGGGTAAATAAGGGAACTGGAATTTCTGGACTAGCCCGGCTAGAGCCATGCAGGGGCCCCAGCAGCTCCCAGGAACACTGGGAGGGGGTCTTCAGGCTGGAATCCCCAAGGCAGGGGCCCCAGCATCCCCAGAGGTCACTGTGATGGGCTCCCAGGAGTACGGCTCTGCCCCAGGGAGCTCCAGGGAGAACCCGGGTCCGAGCCGTATCTCTTACTGGGCAACTGATAGGCGCTGTGGGGTGAGGGGCCAGGAGTCACACACCCTGAAGGATGTGAGGCCCCCGGACAGAAATGGGGAAGTTTGGGGGCAGCTCTCTGGGCAGCCTCCATCTCCTTCTCTTTGCAATGAGCTGTTTGGACTGAGAGATGCCCCAGGCCCTTTCCAGCTCTGTCTCATCAGCCCAGGAAAATCCCTCCAGTCAGCCCTCTGCCAACCCCCTTCAGGCCCCTCCTGGCATGCCCGCATCTCACCAGCTTCTATGAAATGAGCAAACAGTGAGACTTGCAAGGTTTCTTTCTGTCTAGGACATGGGGCCTGAAGAGATGTGGCCAGGTGGCCCCCGGGCCCTCCTGACCTCACCCGTGCCACCTGGCAGAGGGCAGAGGCAGCATCTGCCCTGGACAGAAGCACCAGGGACACCTGGCAGGGACACCACCTCCCCCGGGCCCTTCTGTTAGCTCCAGGTTCAGGGCCCGTGTCCCATTGGCTACATGGCCACAGGCTCTCACCCACACAATGAGGCCACAGGCTTGGCCCCAACGCTTTACTCAGAGTCCATGAGCACTTAGTAAGCCCCGACTGTATGTGAGGCACTGTGCCAAGCACCGGGGATGCCCAGAGAGGCCAAGCCCCAAGGCTCTCTCCTTTGAGGGCTTCCTTCTTCCTAGATGTGTTTGCTTAGGCTGCCATGACTGCTGTAGCCAAAGAGCATTTGGGTTTACCCAGGGAGAAAAGGTGAGCACGAAAATGGGGAGAGAGAAGAGTCTCTGCGAGGAGGCCATGAAGGGCACCACAGAGGAGGAGGAGGAAGAGGAAGGCCTTGGTGGTCCAGTGCAGAGATCATGGCAACTTTGCCGAGAGCGGTTTTGTGGAGGAATGAGGTTGGGAGCCTGCTGTGGAGGCCTGCCCCGCTGTGGAGGCCTGCCCTAGTGTGGATGCCTGCCCCTTGTGGAGGCCTGCCCCCTGTGGAGGCCTGCCCCTCTGTGGAGGCCTGCCCCCTGTGGAGGCGTGCCCCTCTGTGGAGGCCTGCCCCTCTGTGGAGGCCTGCCCCCTGTGGAGGCCTGCCCCGCTGTGGAGGCCTGCCCTAGTGTGGATGCCTGCCCCTTGTGGAGGCCTGCCCCCTGTGGAGGCCTGCCCCTCTGTGGAGGCCTGCCCCCTGTGGAGGCGTGCCCCTCTGTGGAGGCCTGCCCCTCTGTGGAGGCCTGCCCCCTGTGGAGGCGTGCCCCTCTGTGGAGGCGTGCCCCTCTGTGGAGGCCTGCCCCCTGTGGAGGCGTGCCCTGCTGTGGAGGCGTGCCCCTCTGTGGAGGCCTGCCCCTCTGTGGAGGCCTGCCCCCTGTGGAGGCGTGCCCCTCTGTGGAGGCCTGCCCTGCTGTGGAGGCCTGCCCTAGGAATCAGGCCACCAAAGGCAGGTGAGAAACGGGACCACAGCCAGCTGGAAGGGCCGCACCAAGTGAGGCAGGGGAGGGAGAGGCTGGCCCAGTAGAATCCAGCCTGCCCCGCCTCAGGCCTCCACTGAGAAAGAGCTGGCAGGCTGTGGAGGTGATCAGCCCTGAGGCTGGGGGGGCGATCCTGGGGCCCCCCTGGCAGAGGACGCCCACCAAAGCCCCGGCTCAAGGCTGCTGGAAAGCTGGA